GAGATCATAAACATATGAATGGAAAGAAATAGAAAAAAAAACAAAATCTTACTCTATAGCTGATGATTGTTAGTTTTAGGACCCAAGCTGCAATAGAAGTTCATAAAAACAAACACACATAACAATGGAATAATCAAGGAAATACGAGGAATAATATATGGTACCTTGGGGTCATTGTACAGAAGAAGAAAGAGATCATAATCCACAAAAATGTAATCACAAAAATCACATCAAAACACAACAATTTGAAGGTACCCTTGAAGGATAGAGCGAGAAAGATGAGCATGATTCGTCACCTTGTTTGTAACTGAAGTTAACATCGAATCCGTTGAATTGGAAATGAGAAAATATATTTGAAACAAAAAATCAAATTAAATTAGAAATTCGATTACTACCTATAGTTTGTTTCATTCAAAACATGCTCCTTTAGAATACGTTCCAAGTAGTTGAAAACCACCTCCAAAGTTTTGAATCTTGAATGTGTTCTTACTGTAGAAGTATTCCCAGTAGTAAGATCGTTAAATAAACCAGTGACAATTCAAGGAACTGACTGAAACATTGAAACATTGAAGGAATTGAGGGAATGGGTAAGAACAGAGTCGATTCACCAGTTTCCTTTGATATTTATAAAAAAGGGGAAGGGGGAGATGGTGGTGGGGGACGACGGTTCTGAGACAAGGGACCGAACATGGGGATGAGTCGGAGAAGAACTATCTTTGTGGGGGAGAAGAAGTGCTCAATGGATTCAACCGCTAGAAGGTTAGAATTTTTGACATAGATCTTGATGGACGAAGGTTGAAGAACGTGGGAGGAATCATTGATAGGAAGCGAAGAGAACCGCCAGAAATTGGAAATGTTGAGTTATTACGGCTGGGATGGAAAGATGGGGGAGTTTTAAGGGTTGAGATTAGTCTGATGGATTTTTACTCACCGACGAAAATAATATAAATAATATCTAATTTTGGATCATTAGTGTACCATCAAAACTTTTTGGACCAAACTCAAATAATTTTATCAATCACATGGAACATTTTTGCAATTTTATCTAGTTTAAAACCTATTGAAACTTCAAAGTATCAATACTACGATACTTCTATATTTATGATTAAATTGCTATCTAAAATTTTATGAAAAAAATGTATATAAATCGAAATAAATAATCTAAAGTTCTTGAAGAGCCTAAGAGCTTTTTTCACGATAAAATTTTTCAACAAAAACACCATTAAAGGTGCACATACGCAACACTAAAAAGATTAGGGTTTAAAAACGATTTTTTTTTTACGTTCATATCTGTTTTTTTCAAGCAAATCTCTTTAACGAAGTACAATTTTTATTTCCATGATTCTTCTAAACGGCGCATATATGATATATTTGTTGCTATTTGAATTTTGAATAAAATAATCTAGTCGAAAAAAAGTTATAGGTTTTTCGGATTTTTGAGTTTTTATTTGTGTTTGACCGAATGATACTTTTTCTTTTATCTCCAAAAAAAAAATATAATATACTTTAATGAATAATTGTTATTTTTTTGTTTATATTTATATGGAAAAAAAAAGTTTAGATATAAGTAGTGACCAAGACAATAAGGGGTTGATACATGATGTTTTTCCAAAAAAAAATGGATAGTTAAGGTCTTTCAATATAGTGAGCACAAGGCTCGTGGTGGTCGACATGACCACAAACAACAACCATTTTTGACCCTTTGTGGTTGCTCGTTGTGGTGGATTGTCGTGGTCACCATCACATTTGACCACAAACTCTTCCTCTTTGTCTTCTTTCTCGCTTTGGCCATAATATTCTCTCGTGCACACCATCCCATATTGTAAGGGGAAGAGTTATGGTGCTGACGTAGAGGTGGAAGAAGATTGTGGTCGTGAATAGTGGCGAAGCTACTCACCCCCCCCCCCCCCCCCCCCCCCCCCCCGCTTTTTTGACTACTTATGTATATGAATAAAGATGATAGAAGGATAAATAAACAAGCTGCAGGTGCAGGTTGACGTGTGACGAGGAAGAACACAAATAGATTGTATTTTTGTTGTTTATGTTTTGGTTGGGTTTAACAAAAATTCATTAGTAAGAGACAAAGGTGGTGATACAGTTGAACTTGGGACACCATAAAAATCAATCATGCAACATCCTGAGATTTTTCAGGTATTTCTGAATCCCCTCTTCTATTATTATTTTGTCATTTGTAGTTCCCGGGTTTAGAAGAGTCGACCGATGAGAAGCCTAAGGGATAAAGTTGCAACTTTGAGAACAAGACTAGTACGCTAAGCGTACACAAGTGTACGCTACGTACATAAGGTACGCTGGGCGTACACTTGTGTATGCTAAACGTACTCGCATCAGATGCAAACCCTAATATTTAAGGTTTGAGTGCTATATAAACATTGTTATGAGCTCATAACCATCCCTTACCTCAGCGTCCATAGATTTGAGTTCTTTTCCCCAAACCCTAACCCCTTTCTTGAGTGTGTGAGTTTATAGAGTATGTTTTGAGTGGTTGGTGAAGAAAGTGTTGCATCAAAAAGTTGGAGAAGGAGGACAAGCTTGTAGATATGAAGTTTCTTTGTGCCCTAAAAGCGCTAGAAGGTAAAAAGCTTCAAAATTTATGCTTGTATGATATAGATCTTGCCATGTTAGCTTTATGAAACCATTTCTTGTCCCAAAAAGTCCTAAGTTGATGCATGATATGATTTCAACGAGATAAGTTGTCCTTTCAGACCCTTGAAGAGGTCCTAAGTGATAAAAATGATGTCCCAATAGCTAAATGTGTATCATGCATGGAGTAAGAAGGTCTTAATGGATTAAGACCATGTATTAAAAACTTTTTGGACGTCCAAAGTGTTAAAGTTCGAGACTTTATGATTCTTAGGCATATTTGATCAATGGATCTGAAGTTTGGGCTTAAGTGCTTAAGCTATTAAGCACTTATTAGAGTTTTGGTAAAACACGCGTATGCCCTGTGTAGTTTCTGTATGCCCAACGTACCGAGTCAACCACCCTGATGGTGGTCAACACAAAACGGAAGTACACCCAGCGTACCATATGAGTACGCCCCGCGTACGTCCTCTGTTGGACTTTTGACGAATTGGGCTTCAGAGTTGGGCCGCCTTTGGACTAATTGGACTTGGGCCTTGATGGACTCTCTGAATAATTGAGTTTTGGGTTAGTTTTGATAATGGATCCTAGAATAAGGCCCAATTAAGAAGTTGGGCCCAATTAGGAAAAGTGGGCCATTAATGGGCTTTGGATATATGGACTTTTAAGATAATGGAATTGGTATTTGGGCCTTGGCCCAATTTAGAGAAAAGGAAATATGGACTATGAGGACCTTTATTCAAGATTGATATCTTATGTATTGAACTAGTATTTATTATTTTGGATAGTTCGGGATTTTCGGTGAGACAGCGATCAGAGACTTTCAGTTCTTTTCAGCACTACCTGCGAGGTAAGTTATAGTTCTTTTCAACACTACTTGCGAGGTAAGTTATCCTCACTATACTAAGGGGTCGAAGGCACCAATGTCGGCCCAATGGATTTGATATCCTCGTAATTAACGATATGTTGAGTATGAGATAGTTATACATGCTAGTTTACTATGCCATTTTGGTAGATCTGTAGGATTACCTATGTTACTATTTGATTATCTGCATGTGCAATTAGTTGTATATGTGGACATGTTGTGTGGGTAGGGTTGAGGTTGCAATGCTTCGTGCGACGACTAACAAACCCTAGAGTATGCCAGATATGAGCCGAGGGATGGGAAGGCATACCAGACTCGTACCGAGGACTCATTTGCATACCAGATATGAGCTGAGGACCGAGTGGCATGCCAGACTCGTACTGAGGACTTGAGGGTATTGGAGCATTCCAGTTGCGAGCTAAGGGCCAGAGGGACATGCCAGACTTGCACTGAGGGCTGATCAGTTATATTTCAGTCTTAGGATTGAAGGGTGTAATCCAGTCATAAGCAGTTGGCTCGATAGCAAACCAGACTTATGTTGTGGGCTCAGAAGCAAGCCAGATGTGAACTGTGAGCCCGAAAGGCAAGTCAGACTCATACTGTGGGTCCCAGGGGGTAATCCAGACACAAAGGCGTGATCGTATAGCTCCTCACTTTTTATGACTTTGTGTATTGGGATACTCTGATGTAGAACTATTTTGATAACAAATTTGTAATAACTATTGGTTTCTAAATGTTGTAAAAAGTTTAAAATTGGCATGCTTTTTATGGATGTTTCCAATCAAGATTTTAAAATATTTGAAATCGTTTAATCAAAAGGAAACAAAGTTAAAAATATTTTAAATATCCAAACGATATCTATAATTTTGCTAAGAACTTCCAAGATTTTTTTTTTCATTTTTATAAATCTTCGAGAAAACAGAAACCCTCGTTCTAGATTTACACCCAGGGAACAAAAAAAACATTGAATCGCCGCTAATGCTCTCCTCTCCTCTCCATTACCTGTCTCGTCATTTCTATGACCGGAGTCGCTAGAGGCTAGATCAACCACCGCCCTCCGCTTGAACTACAGTTCTCTGCTTTAACCACCAACGTTTATTCACTTGTAACTCGCAACGTATCTATTGCTCTCTCTATATTCTTGTATTGCCTCCTCGCTGATTTCAAGTAAAGATGATATGCTTCTAATTTTGTGTTTTGTTCGTATGCAATGGTATTATCAGTTCTCTACTACTTTTGTGTTTTCTTCATACATAATGATATTATCTGTTGCTTTTTCAAAAAAATAATATTATATGTTCTCTATCACCTTACCTATTAGGATGTTTGTTATGTCTTTTCATTGTTTCTTAGGGTTTAATATTGTTTTTTTTTTTCCTATAAATGAATGTGATAAAAAACCGAAAAAAAACATTATACAATATGATATGATAATCAATGTTAACCTAATTGTTGCTGTTATTATATATATATATATATATATATATATATATATATATATATATATATATATATTAAAATTATCCATTCTTAGCTTACAGTTCCTGACCACAGGTACTGTTCGTTGGTTAGTTAGTATAATTGGATTGGTTTAATCTCACCGATCCACCGCCTAAAATGTCTACGTGTTTTAATTTTGGTCTTCTCTACCTTCTCTCTTCTGTTTCGTCTCCACCCATCACCGTTCCTCCGCGAATGCTTTTCTTCGGTTTTCGATTTGTCTTCATCGTCTTATGGTCGCCGCCTCCAGATTCTTCCTATCGCCTCTCTTATCAAGTGTTAGTAATCTACCGCCTCTTCCCCACGGATAGACCTTCCCGATCCTTCCATCACCACTCTATTTTTCTTTTGGCTTCCCTCTCCCTTTTCCATATCTTTCATCGAACTCCATGTCTTGCCCTAAATCGCCGCTTTTTGCACATATATATAGGAGGGTTGAACAAGCGAAATAACCATACAGGTGCTTCCATGGTTGTCTCCTTTTATCGATTGGAGCTTCACAAAATTGTTAGGATACGTCTCTCTAAAAACCCTAATTACTTCATAATTTTATTTAGTTTTATTTCTTATGCCTACCGTATTTGAGTAATTACATTTTTATGATTTCTGCTTTATAGGTGTTCAAGAAAGGGGATATCAGAATCAACAATCTAAAACCACAAGGACAACGTAGCATTAACCACCTTAGAGCACCCAAAACCCCTCGATTTCTCCAAAAATTCAGTGATCATTTCTCTTATCGTCTCATTTGTGTGTCTTTTTTAGGGCTAAACTGTGAATGGAAAGAAAAGAAATATCGCTCGGGAAAAGAGAGAAGGGAGATCGATGTTGCCTCACTCGCTTTGTATCTTGAATTGACCCCCTAAAAGTCACACTTCTACATTCCATTCACTGTTGTTCGCTTTCGCTGCTCAGGTCTTCAATCATCAGGTATGATTTCATTATTTTTAATTCTATCTATTCGTCTTCCAAATTCGATTGCTTCAAAAATTCAGTGACGATTTCTCTTATCATGTCATTTGTGTATGTTTGCTAGGGCTAAACTGAGAATGGAAAGAAAACAAATATCGCCCAGGAAGAGAGAGAAGGGAGATCAAGGTTGTCTTCATCTCGTTGTCAATAAATCAGAAAATAAAGAAAACAAATACCTCTTGCAACGTATGTATTGTATCACTATTCGTCTCTTTAGATCCTGATTTTACCATTGTGTGCGACTGTATAGGACTACATATGTATTATTCATGAATTCTACATGCTTACCATGTTATCACATACGAAACCCACCAGATCAGTTGCTTATTTACTTCATACAATTGATACTGATGTTCTTATTAATCTGTATGTTTGCTACGTATTTCATTTTAGTTTTGGCAGTTTACTTATTCTTTTCGATTGATCAGCCACCGACGTCTTGCCTAGTCGATACCTTTGCCTTACGGAAAAGAGTATTTGGGTTATTATATTGTTTTTGTTGTTCAAACTTGGCAGATTGAAGATGCATAGTAAGTGTTTGATGAAATGCTTTAAAGAATATTAGTTCTTCAAACAATAATTTTTTAATTCTTTTGTCAGATTTATCAACATGTGTTGCTTCACATAATAAATAGTGAAGTACATGATGGTAAATTAAGTGTTTAAATGACCTAGAATGGAATTAATACTTGATGTACCTAATGCTTATGCATCTGTAAAGAATTTAGATTTTAGGTTGATAACAATTTGTGTGTCAGGGCCTTCTTTTTTACTGAAAATCTTCAATTATGATGGTGTTTCCCTTTATATATATTGCAATCCTTATACGGAATTTCTTTTTTCAGTAGGAAATGGGCATGATAGGGTATGCGATATCTCATCATCAATAGACAAAACCCCAACTGATTTATATATTTTTCTAATATAAATCTACACGCCCGACTTTCTTTTTTCTTTTGTCCCATTCAGTTTGAAATTTATGGATCTTGTGGTGATATTTTTAGTGTCAAACCGGATATTTGAGAGGAACTAAAAGCAGCTGGACTATTGCTTATAAAAGTGTTTATGATTTTAGCTGTTTGGTTTCTTTTTTTGGTTGCTATTTCACTGTCATTGTAAATGATATTTACAGACTTCTACAAGAACGAAAAAAGAAAAAGAAGAAGCCAAATAAGGATGAAATAAAGTGTCCTGGGCGTGAAGAGATCAAATTTAGAGATGTTAAACTCCACCAAAGTTGGTCGATGCTCCCAAGGTTAGATTTCTTATTCTTGAAATTGGCTAAATGTCACATGATTATGATTATTTAAGGATAAAAACATGAGAAAAAGATTAAAATAGCCACTTTTTCTTAATGATTTTGTCAAAAATAACCAAGAATTTCACATATTTCTTAAGATAGCTTCATTTTGCAATGCCCTAATGGTGCCAATATATATATATATTCTTTTAGCTAATACCATTTATGTCCACTTTTTTTAAAAAGGGATATGTTATCCAGATTTTTTTAAAGATCCGCAAGTTACTTACTCTTGCTGCCACATTAAACGACTTAACACGTGGACTCAAGGTCAAAGGACAATGCACTGATTGAAATAGTGTGTGTACGTAATTCTGTATATATATATATATATATGTTATATCTGATTTGAGATTTTTTTTATAATGAATTAAATGAGAAGCTCCCACCAAATCATCCAACACTTAAATCAAATCACATCACAGGCTTTTGGAGAATGGTGAGTGTGGCATGCCAAACTCTTAGAAATATAGATTGGAGACACGATAAGGAATGATATTTATCTCATGCTTATTCATATTAGATGGCTATTTCAAACTTTTGACTTAACATAACACACACATAACAACATGTTTGCATTTTCGTGCTACTAAGGGAAACATAATTTAATATTTTATGTACCTTTCCCTTTAATAGCAACGTACTTTATTTGTTACTTCTAATATTAACTGATTACGTTAGTGTATCGGTTAAAAATTTTAGTTCATCCCTATTACAGGTAAAAAAAAACTAATTACATTGATTATATCTACGAAAAAAATTGCAATGTCCTAAAATTTACCCTTTTCTTTATTCATGGGCATTAGCAATGAGAAAAAAAGGTGAAAGTAGAATGCTATAATATAATACACACATTAATGAAAGTAGTTTGTTATTTGTTGCAGAGTGCTGTGGACGAGGAGTTGGAGAACTTCAACGAAGTTGTAATGAAGCGTTATGACGGTGGAGAGTCAAAGGGAAACTTTGACCCCGAAAAGCATATATAGGCTTATTTACCTGTTAGACTCAATGAGCAACAAGTGACAAATTTATTGCAATGTATAATTCCCATTTCAATTCTTTGGGGTTACTTTGCTTACATGTCAATTTTCATTAAGATTGTTGCTCTTTTTCATCCCTGCTGGTCAACAAGCCCCTATATATGTAATGACCAAAAAACCCTTATTTAACTCTGAAAAAATTCCTTCGGACTCATGCAAAGCATGGGTCTCTTCTCTAGTTATTATTATTATCATTATTATTATTATTATAAGTTGGTCATGATATTTTGATTTTGATTTTGATTTGGCAATGGTTAGATTATTTTCAAGTTTGCTATTATGCATATTTATTAAGAAAAGATAATAGTGTTGTTCCATCATTGAAGGTCTCGATTTCGGCCCCCAAGCTTTTGTACTTGTGTTCTGCCCCTGGTCGTGAAGACCATTACGGACAACCTAATAAAACATATAAACAATTAAACATTTTAGTATGAATTTAAAAACAAAAATTTTAAAAAAAATTTATAGTGCGAAAAAAAAAACTACCCTTAAATACTAAGGGTTTAAATTTCATTCGAAACAATGTGTATTTTATGTCCTATTCATTAAAAAAATACTTTATAAATATTAAAAATAACATAGTAGTTTTTAAGTTTTATTTAAAAATAAAAAAATAAAAATAATAAATAAATAAACACTTATTTTTGTCAAAAACCGTAAACTTAGATTACTTGTTAATCTTGTATTTCTAGTTGGTTACTTAGGAGTCAACCAGTTACGAAGTCCAGTTAACATGTTTTTATTCAGATTTTACATGTTATGGAAATTAATATAATTTTTTACTATTTATATACATATTAATTTACTGTTTCCTTACGAACAGTAAATTAACCTTATTGGACCAATTTTCTATTTTTTTTACCAATTTTCTATTAATTTCCCACCGTCCAATCATGTATTTTACTCTGTTTCCACCGCTTTACCTAGGTAAATCCACCACCGCTTTTTCTCCCCTGAGTTACATCTATGCATCTACACCTGTTGTCGGCTTCATTCTCCCAAAAAGCTTTCCACCACCGCTTATTGCTGTCGATTACCACCAAACACGTTGGAGAAAAGCAGATGACGTAGAATCTTCCTTATCTTTCCGTTACCAGCGACTTTACCACCGCTACTGTTGGTCAATGATGACATGTTGATTCGTCAATGTATCTGACTCTCCATCATTCTTTCTCACCGTTACCGTCGACTTTACCTCATGTGTTTTCGATCTGTTGAGTTCGGCTTCTGCAAATACACAATGCTTTCTCTATTAGCTCCTACTAACGGTTTGAACTAAGGTAAAGTTACAGTTTTATTTTCTCCTCTATCCATAGGTCGTATTCTTCCATTTGCAATAAAACTGAGGCACAATTCCCTTTGGGTATAAGTGTATAACCACGACCTGTCCAACCCCTAATTTTTGACTTTCATTATCTTACCCCTACTTTCTTTTGTGTTTTTGATTTTAGAGTCAGAGCAGGACCACAGCAGGACCACCCAAATCGGAAGAGTAGGTATTGCATTTGATTTTGGGTATTGAAGGCTTAATTTGGGGCTTTTCAACACTAGTCTAAAACATTAGAAGATAGAGACCTGTCTTTGTACAAAAGAGGTAAACTTTGAACATTTGTTTCATTAATTTTATAGTTTTTATCATTTATACAATTTGCATGTGCTCTACTACGATTTTGGTTTTGTGTAATCCTCAAGGGAATATTGAAGAACATACTAAGCTTAGTTATTTGTTTTGATTTTGGGTATTAAAGGCTTAATTTGGGGGTTTTTCAACACATTTCTAAAACATTAGAAGATGGAAACTTTGCCTTTAGAAAAACGAGGTAAACTTTGAATATTTGTTTTATTAATTTTATAGCTTTTATGATTTATACATTTTGATTGTTTACAAAAATTCTTGAATAACACTGGAATAATTTTTTAATATTTTCATTATATTTCCATAGATGATGTTTTATGCTGTTGAAGTACATGAACAACCAACTGTTTGAGAAACAAATTTTTTCCCAAGGTAATATCACACTATTTTTACGTTCTTTGGTTTCTTGCACACCAACTGTTTGATGTATTGTCTGTATGTGTATTATGATGTAACTATCATATAGAAGCCATCAATGAAACTCCCAAACAGATTTCACATGCTACTGCATTATAGAAATTTCATGCACTACTACAAAAATTGCAATTAGTGATAGCTCAAACCTCCTTAGTGTCTTAAACCAAAAGAACGGAAATTAATTAGACACATGTATGGAACTAAAGATCAAACATGTTTGCTGTTATGATTTGATCTTTATGTCGATTGTTTTTCTGTTGGATTTTAGATTTATCATCATAGAAGCAATCAACCTTGTTGTGAGGATTTTTTTGGAAAATTAAAAGGTTATGGCTTTTTTTAGAAAAAAAAAAAAACAAAAGTTTTTTTTGAAAAAAATCAATTTTATATACATATGCAATCAGGTTATTTCAGTTACAAGGCTCATTCTTAGTTGCTAATTACATATTTATGTATTCTTTTAAGGAAGAGAACCTCCGGTTACAAAAACTAAAACCGGAGGTAATCAAAGCATACTAAAGGCAATCTTTTTGTAAAGATATTGAAAATAAGGAACATGAGGAAGGTAAGGAGGATAGTAAGTTTAGTTTCTTTTCCGTTCTTTTAACTTCATTAAAGAAGCATGAACTTCAAAAAGTTTATATTCAAGTGATTCATTTGTTATTGTAGGACTGAAAATGTATTATTTTCTGTTTGAAATTGGTTCTTATGATGTTCACCTATTAACCTGTAGGATTTTTCTCATCTAAAGCCAAACACATCTCTAAAAGAAGATGGATCGACACTTCCTCTTTTGAAACACTAGGTTTAAAGCTACCAACTTACAGAAATATGTAGAAATCATATTATATGAAAGTAGAACAACATTTTCTGCATATTTTATAAAGATTGTTGTCCATTTTTTCCCCATAGTTATTAGCCTTTACAACTTCTTTTTTATTTACATTACAGGTTTGGTAAATGTGCAAATGGGTCACAACAATGGAGTAAGGCTAAAGAATATTTCTTCAATTTAGATAAGAACAATGTGGTTTCTATGAATGAAATTGTTAGATAGTTGCATACTTCAAGATTATATATTTCCTATAATACCCTTTTTATCCTTCTCACATGTAAGGACTGTCTGTGAAAATGGATTCGACATGTATAAACTTTGAGCTCACTGTCAGGCACAGGAAACCTAAGGTTGCGTTTAGTTACGGAAAAACAATTTTCATTTTCCGTTTTCATTTTTCATTGAAAAATTTAGAGAACGCGTTTAGTTAAACTTATTCATTTTTCATTTTCAGTTTTAGAAAATTAGAAAACGTGTTTAAATGTCTATTTTTCTATCGGTTTTCATTTTTAAAAAACGGTAGTGGTAGTAGGGTGTGGGTGGGGGCGGTGACGGTAGCGGTAGCGGGTCGGCGGCGGTGGTGGTGATGACAGGCGATGGTGGTGGCGGCGTCAATTTTATCAGTGGTGGTGATGGTGGTGGTGCTAGTGACGGGTTAGTGGTGGTGGTGGTGATGGTAGGTCGGTGATTGTTGTGGTGGTGTTGGGTGGGTGGGGGTGCGAGTGTGTGTTTGTGTGTGTATGTGTGTTTGTGGGGGTAGGTGTAGGTTTGTGTGTGTGTGTCTGTGAGGGTGTGGGTATGTGGGTATGTACGTGTCTGTGTGTATGGGTGGGTATGTATGTGTGTGTGTTTGGGGGGGGGGGGGGGGGGGGGACATTTCTAGTTCATGATGTTGTTGCTGTTATTACCATATAAACACGATGACATTTGCAAAACAAGGGTAGTTGTTTTAACTTAATTGTAAACAATACTCCTTTTTATTACTAAGTTAGTATAACCTTAAAGAGTATTTAAGGTGTAAGTAATAAGTTTTGTAAGTAAAGAATGTACATCAAAATTTGAACTTCGTTCAAAAGTCAATGTTTTAAAACAAAAAACTATAAATCAATTCAAAATTAGCTAAGATAATTTGGCAATAATCGTGATGGCTTCCAAGTCATCACTATCAACTCCCTAAATTGTTTTCAATTCCTACACATAACGTATGTCGGTTTTATATACCTAGGAATTTTGAAAAACAAATGTAAATCCTATCATATACATGAATTGCTTGTCTCTCACACTTTATTTTTTCTTAAAATTAGTTCAATAGCATGTAACTTCTGCTCGATAACAGTCTTTGGAAGTAAAGAATGTACATCAAAATATGAACTTCGTGCCGTTCATATATATATATATATATATATATATATATATATATATATATATATATATATATATATATATATATATATATATATATATATATATATATATAGGAAAAGTGAATATACCCTTAAAGGTATATAAGCTTAGGTACATAAACTCACAATAATACTCGTTTTGTTTGATATATTTATTATAATGTTCTTTAACTTTAATCCTTAACATGATTTACTTTCAAGATTTTCAAAATTTCATTATTATTTTCCTTTTACATCACATTTTTTTTACGAACATCAATTAGGCTATATATATTACAGATGAAAATGAAAATTATGTAAGAGGAAAATAAATGTGAAATTTATAAAAATCTTTGAATGAAATCAAGTTAGAAGTTGAATTATAAGAACATTAGACAATTACAATGTATATATATATGATACAAAACGACGTAGTATAGTGAGTTTGGGTACCAAAACTTATATACCCTTAAGGGTATATTCACTTTTCCCTATATATATATATATATATATATATATATATATATATATATATATATATATATATATATATATATATATATATATATATATATATATATATATGAACTTGGCTCAAAAGTCAAAGTTTCAAAATACATGTAACAAACCAAATTTAAGATTCGTAACATCACTTGATCAAGAAATCACTAAAAGTCAGAGGTATTGAAAAGCTTTATAAGAGTTCAATGTGAACTTCTCTGTAAAAGCTACTTCTTTGTAAAAGCTTAAGAAGAGTTCAAGGAAAACTTCTCTATAAAATCTACCTTCATACTGCTACCACAAGCTTCAAAAATCTTCAAATTTGAAAAGTCACAATCCAATTTCGAATGATCATATAAAATTCTCCCCTTTTAATAATCAAAAACATGATTATAAAACCTTCAAATGATCATGAGAATAATCTTGAATTGGATGAATAATTACTATGTTCCTCCTCGACAAAATGGAATAAATAATGAAGTTTAAAATCTGAAATAATTGAAAAAATTTGATGTTTTTGCAAAATACGACCTTCCGAACCGCCAAGACTTGTCGGAATCTATAATTTACTGTTTACGAGAAAATATGTTCATGAAAAATTCAAATTTTTCTCAAAAACCCATAAACTTGTAAACATTTTGGAATATTAGGTCACAACTGTTACTTG